CCTTCTATAAGACATAGCTTATAAAGTTTTACACCATATTTATGACGTTCATTTGGAATATATTGCCGAAATTGTAAACGACCACACCAAGGAATCATACTTTCGTCTATTGTTAATTCTTTTCCAGGTTTTACTACTTTTTGGAAGTTTCTATTTATCTTTTCTACAAGTGTATTTATTTTGAATAATCGATCATTGGAACAGACTTGATCGCCATCAGAAAAATGCCAGTACTGAAGAATATCCAAATATCGTTCTCGCGACATAGCACTTTTTATACGTTCATTACTGAACATGGGATCTTTTGACCAATATAACCGGATTTCTGGTACCTTAACAACACCCATTATTAACAAAATGCCTATAAATATATGCATTTCATCCCGAGTTGTCGGTTTCCATTGCTGTTTGTGTTTTCTAATAGTAACTGATGAATGTGCTTGTAGCGCACATTTTTCATAATATTTGTTGGTTTCTAATACCATAAGGTCAATTATATCATCACAAAGAAATAATTTATAAATTGAAAAGGCATTATCATAATCTATCTCTGGCAACATTCTATATTCTTGATTGTATTTTTTAAAAGGAACACAATCTGTTATAAAAGGGCTCCAATCTTGTTGATCACACATAAACTGCGACAACGTATTCTCGTCATGTTCCTCTCTATTTAGCAGTATTGCGTCCAAAAACTCATCTTCCGAGTCCGATGAATATAAGATTCTAGGTTTTTTTCTGCGTGAATTTCGCAGGAACTCAAAATCATCGTCTGACTCCATAATACTAAGGGTCAATAATAAATTATTGAAAAACAGAAATTATATTATAGAATGTCTAACCTTAAAAAAAGAAAAGTATTTTACTTACATATATATTTCACAATTTGTAAATAAAGTTTTATAAGTAATTTATAACAGTTAGATGCAAGTAGACTTCAGACTCAAGCCACTGACAACAGAGAAAATAATGAAAGAAACAAGCGCCGCCAGACGAATAAACATCTGAAAATCTCGAGCCCGCTGACCATACGGACTTCGAAAACATGCGCCAAGTTGAACGTGTTAATATATTAATATCGTTGCTATTAACGAGAGAAAAAAAGAAAAAAGAGAAAACAACGCCGTCACCAATTTACTGAAGAATGAATACATAAAATAACATGATCTCAGATATGTAATCAATAATTAAAATTAAAGCTCCTGCGCAAAAACAAATACTCACGCAAATGATGCAAACGTTGCAGTCGACTTCTCGCATGAGCTGTTATCACTTTAAAAACTATTACAATTTACATCCTGTATCTGGCTTTTATAGACTTTAATGTTATTAAACGAAGAAAGATAGCTTGTAATACATTAACGGCATTACAAGTAGTACGTTACTTTCGCGACCTTAAAAATATGATCGCCGCCGTCACCACATCCCAGTCATCGTATCCGTACACACATTTTTGCGAAAGAATGACGTCTTTGTCGTGACACGATAATTGTTAACGAATTTGCGAGGAAAAATTTTCAAGCGCGTGAGAGTGAGCTTCCGGGTACCGTTGCCGCCTCGCCTCCTTTCGGCGGTTTTCCCCTTACTCAATTACCATCATATTCCCCCCTTTTTCTTCGCTTATCGGTTCATTGTGGATTCCTCCTGTCTTTTATGAGCTGCGCTCGCTTTCCGTGCATGCTAAATATCTTATCTCGCTACTTCCACCGTTCGTTTCGTCACCCGCGGACGCACCACTTCACGCAGCGACGCGGGAAGGAACGAGACGCATTATAAGGGATAAGTATGTAAGGTAGGCGGTTATGCCTGTCGACAATGCGAGACTTCGCTTTATGCTTGAATGAGTGGTTGACGTATAATTTAATCGTTCCCCAAAATGAAGAATGTCTCGAGAAACTATTCTTCCTCTCCCTTTTCTTCTCGTTTCTTTTTTATTTCTCTCTTCTTTCTCCAAAATATAAATATTTTTATGTCACTCTTTGCATATACTTAAAGCCTTTCTAGTAAGAGTTTGGACATCTCCGATTTTTTTATCAAAATTGGCGTCTCGCTTGTCACCAAAATGTTTCTGTCAATGAAGGATGTCTATACAGAAAAAGATGCTAGAATCAAGTAATCATAATTATGGGTCTTTCAATAATCATAATTATATATCTTAAGTCAAATAATATTTTAATTAAATGAAATATATTTTATAATTGCTTGAAGTAAATACTTACTTGAATTCAGAAATACCTCAATTCGTAAATAAAATACTGAATGTAAATGTAAAATAGTTCTAAATTTAAAAAAGTATTTGCAGAAATTATATAATATTTCTGTTTCATTGAAGAGAACAATTTGTTTTAAATTTAGTTTTTTCTGTAAATATTTTTGAAGAATAAACTATGATATTCTCAATATTATGAATTTAATACTTGTAATTGTTTCAACTGTGAGGTTGCAAATTTTCGTTTGTCACTTAGGCTGTGGCCAGGCCGAGGTGAAGCCGGAGGCTCGCGCCTTCTCATAAAAGAAAGCGACCGAG